GGCTCCCGGGTCATCTAATAATTATTTACAATTATTTGGAGCAAAAAACTATGGAGGAAAGTACCTGGAGTACTCGCTCATACTCGGTTCGGGTCTTGGAGTGCTCGTAGTTCATCTAATAATTATTTAAAATTATTTGGAGCTGAAAACTATGGAGGAAAGTACCTGGGGTACACGCTTATACTCAATTTGCATCCTGGTGGGCTCCCGGGTCATCTAATAATTATTTAAAATTATTTAGAGCTAAGAACTATGGAGAAAAGTACTTGAGGTACTCGCTCATACTCGGTTCGGGTCTGGAGTGCTCGTGGTCCATCAAGTAACTATTTAAAATTATTTGGAGCAAAAAACTACGGAGGGGAATACCTGGGGTACTCGCTCATACTTGGTTTGCGTCCTGGCGTGCTTCTGGGTCATCTAATAATTATTTAAAAATATTTAGAACTGAAAACTATGAAGGAAGGTACCTGGAGTACTCGCTCATTATCGGTTCCGTCCCTAGAGTGCTCTTCGTATGTTAAATAATTTTTTTTAATTATTTGGAGCGAAATACTACGGAGGGGAATACCTGGGGTACTCGCTCATACTCGGTTCGAGTCTTGGAGTGCTCGTGGTCCATCAAGTAACTATTTAAAATTATTTGGAGGAAAAAACTATGGAGGGAAGTACCTGGGGTAATCGCCCATACTCAATTTGCATCCTGGTGGGCTCCCGGGTCATCTAATAATTATTTACAATTATTTGGAGCAAAAAACTATGGAGGAAAGTACCTGGGGTACTAGCTCATACTCGGTTCGGGTGCTGGAGTGTTCCTGCCTCATTAAAAAATTATTTTTAATTACTTGGAGCCAAAAGCCACGGAGAAAAACACCTGGACTCAATTTTACATTATTTTTATTTTTTTGACACTTTAGCGCCATCTGTAAATGAAATTGATGTTCATAATAATTTTTAAATTATTTAGTTATATTTTTCTCCACCCGGTGCCTCTGCTGCATTTTTCTCGAGTTGGGACGATGAAAATTGGGACGCTGAACAACTGGGACTTTGCTTAGCTGGGACAATGACATATACCCTAATGAACGACGAAACAAACACATGCCTGCCTTCTTAAACACAACCTTCTGGAACTGCCGTAACATAAACAATCTACTGGATATTTCTTCTCTTAACCATAATATTATATGTATTAGCGAAACATGGAGACATACAGATAATACTTCGTTTCCAGGTTCTTTTGCTTCTTGGAAATCTTCATGGTGTCAAGCCGTCAAGGATAAAACTCAAGGCCGAGCAATTGGCGGACTCTTGACCATATGCGACAAGTCCTGCAACATGGTCACCTTATCTTCTTCTGACAGTAGCATCTTTACTAAGCTCACCAGAAATAATTTTACAACCATAATAGGGTCAATATATTGGAAACCCACTATCAACTTTAAAGACGCCTTTAACGCACTGCAAGCAACTTTAAGTGACATCATGAACTTGACTAGCTTTGATGTCTTAATTGTTGGTGGTGATTTTAACTCGCGTGTAGGCGAGATACAACACTCAGAACCTCACATTTTGGCGGATTTCCCACTGGAAGAAGTTCGTTCATCGCAAGACCATTTTATCAACGAAAAGGGCTAAGTGCTGAATGAGACACTTGAAGAATATGGTTTTATACTGCTTAATGGCAGAACTACTGGTGATTATCCTGGTAAATTTACTTTTGACAACGCACTGGGGAAGAGCACAATTGACTTAGTCTGGGTCCACTTCTCGAGCTTAGACGTTATAAATACTCTTGCTGTGAAGCACATTGTCACAAATTCAGATCACTTTCCCGTCCGCCTATCACTTAAATTACCCGACGACGTGGGGACTCACACACCAGAACCATTGCCTGAATTTAGCCTTAAATGGAACCCCAGTCAAGCGTCGTTCTACAAAGCTAGTATGCAGTGGTCTCCTCTTGTGAGCCAGGATTTCCATCTTTCCTCCACCAGCGATCTCTACTGGAATCTGGAAGAAGCTACCCAAAGTGCTAGAGCCGCAAGAATGCACCGCTCTCACCATACTCAACACTACACAACTAAAGCCATCTGGTTCGATGATGGTTGCAAGGAAAGGAAGCGTCTTGTTACAAATTACCTCCACTTCTGCAAAAATAAGGACTCTAAATCAATCTTGTGGGACTACTATTATGCTGCTAAAAGAGATTACTTTGCCCTGATAAGGCACAAAAAACTCGAATATCAAAAACTCGATCTCAAGGTTGTTTACGAATTCTAGGAATCCCTCAAATTTTTGGCGAGCTGTAAGAACTGTCAATGCTACAAACCGCTACGTCCATAGCACCTCACCTTCTGAATGGGTGGACTTTTATAGGAACATATATCCGCCACGTAGTTGTGCTCCTACTCTTTTCCACATCTCTCATCCGACAAGCCATCTAACAAGCGAGATTTCTTGTGATGAGCTCCAGAAAAGCTTTAACAGAGCCAAAAATGGCAAAGCACCAGGTATAAACGGAATTTCAATGACTTTCGGAAAGCTCTTCCCAACAATTGGAAACTGTACTTGCTCACACTGTTCAACACGATTCTTGATTCTGGCAATGTTCCTCTAGATTGGTCTAACGTTTGCATGTTTATGTTACACAAGAAAGGGGACCCAAGAACCTTATAGAACTACCGTGGTATCGCACTTGTGGACTGTGTTACAAAGATTTTTACAGCATCATCAACGAGAGATTAAGGAAATGGGCTGAGCAAAACAACTTGCTCCCTGAAGAGCAAGCCGGTTTCTGGGAAGGCAAAAGTTGTGACGATAACGTTTTTACCCTACAGACCATTCTTCAGTTGCTGTTAAGACACCAAGGAGCCACAGCACTAGTTTTATTAATTGCTTTTCAACGAGCTTTTGATTCAGTTCCTCATCACAAGCTTTGGAGCAAGCTTGCGGACATCGGTCTGTGTCCTAAACTAATAAACATCTTAGTCAAGCTTTACTCCACACTCAAGATGTATATTAAGTCAGATAATAAGTTATCTGATCCCATAGAAATCACAGAGGGCGTATTACAAGGAGAAGTTCTTAGTCCGCTGCTCTTCATCCTGTACATCTGCGATATGACGTCCTTTTTCGAGGATCAGGAGTGCAAGGGTTTAAATTTGAATGGGATCATTGATGTACTGCTGCTGGGCTTCGCTGATGATTCGGTTGCTACAACTTTTTCCGCCAATAACCTCGTTTAAATCCTCGATGTCCTCGAGAAATACTGCGACAAAAACAGCCTAAATGTGAACACCCAAAAAACCAAGATCTTATTCTGCAAGGCTTCGGGTAGATTGAGTCGTAAGACTCGCACCTTCCTATACAAAGGTCAAGGAGTCGAAGTTGTCAAGTCCTGCGTTTATCTAGGAATCCCGTTTACCACCTCTACGTCGGGCACTTTGGCAGCCGAATTGGCCTCCAAAAAAGCAAAAATCGCCGCCGGTGCAGTCTTATCAACCTTAGCTAGACTTAAATTAGATACTTGGCCGAGCAAAACGAAATTATTCAACTGCATGGTTAAACCTACGCTGACATACCAAGCTCTTATTTGGGGGCTCGACTCAAACCTTCTGGAAAAATTAGAAACCTCGCATCTCTACTTATTCAAGAGACTCTTCTCCTTGCCTATATGCACACCCAACTATGCGCTGCGACTCGAACTAAGGATTGGCCACATATCCGTGGAAGTCATCAAAAATGCAATGAACTGGATCATCCGTATCCTGAAAATGCCAGACTCTCGTCTCCCAAATTGTATTTGCTCAGGCTCCACGAAACTCAGCATCATGGTTTGGTAAAATTCAACTGGATTTTGCGTCTAAAAGCTCTACTAAAACCTATCAATGAGGATTTGTAATGTTGGATAATCTTGGAACGCTTCACGTAATAATTATCCGTAACTCCTATTCTTTCCCGCTTCACAGCATTATTTATATTTTGTTAAAAATGCTAACCGTAAGATGGACGGTGTGGCTTAATGTATATAGAATAAGTGAAAGGAAATTTAGTATAGACCGGATAGCTCAAATGGTAGAGTAGCCGACATGTCTTCGGAAGGTTCTGGGTTCGAATCCCAGTCCGAGCTATCTAATAATTTTTCTCACATATTCTATACACTCACATTAAGAAGTTCATCTCCATAATCCTTTCTCAATCCTTTACTACCAATTATCCTGTTACGTGAATATTGGAACGCTTCACGTAATAATCATCCGTAACTCCTATTCTTTCCCGCTTCACAACATTATTTATATTTGTTAAAAATGCTAACCGTAAGATGAACGGTGTGGCTTAATGTATATAGAATAAGAGAAAGGAA